AACGGCCGTTCACTAACCAAATACGGCGAACAACGGCAACTGTTTACGTTAGTCACATACGCCATCAGTAAACGACGATTTACAGCATATTACCGCAATCGTACACAGTGCCCGTAAAAGTTCATCGTAAACTACTAACTTAACAATACGGTGACCGTATACTCTGGTCGAAAAATAACGTAAGGCATCGTATACGTCAGCCGTTTCCGGTGATTATTTATAACAGTCGTATATGATGCTTTACGGCATACGACGGCGATTGTAAACATTGACCGTCAAATATCATCGGAAACGACTAACGTGGCAAAACGGCGACTGTACACGCTGGTATTATTAAATGTCGTAAAACAGAGTGTAGGGGAGCAGTATACGCTAGTCGCTTACGGCGATTGTAGACGACATTTTATGATGATTTACGGCCGATGTAAACAATTGCCATAAACAGTCACCGTGTACGACTTCTGTAACAATATGACGACTGTATACGTTCATCGCATAATATCGCGACGCACCGTCTTTGTTTATTGCAATTCGTTCGATATAGAATCACTATTTGTTATTATATTTCATCAGAAACGATCTATCCATAGAGAGTTACGCCAGCACTCACACATACGGCAATCGATCGATACACCGCTTCCAAAAACCCTAGGATACGCCCGACCATCGCTATCACCTATGTCCACAATAAGCGAAAAAAGTGTCTCTTAAACCGGATTAGTCAGTTTCAACTGGTCCACGACACCCTGATTTGTCAATCTCGATGAGGGAACTGGAAGAAACCCACACATATATCCATCAATAGATAGAGCACTCTCGATAACCCTATGATCGGCCCGAACACGGCAATATGTTGTCCTTATAATAAGAGGGAAAGGTTCCTTTCAAGCTTTTTGGCACCCCTAACACTCTAGTTCTGAGTGAAGGACTTAAAATGGACCCACACATATACCCATCAATCGATAGAGCACCCTCGATAACCCTGTGATTGGCCCGAACATGTCAATATGTTGTCCTTATAATAAGAGGGAATGGTCCTTTTCAAGTTTTTTTGGGACCCCTAATACCCTAGTTCTGAGCGAAGGACTTGAAGTGGACCCACCGATATAGCCATCAAGTGATAGAGCACCCTCGATAACCCAGCTGGAGCATTACGACGACCGGATACGACTGTTTACGGCCGTTTACGACGCCGTATACCGCCGTATACCGTCGTATAGGGCTGTTTCTGTTCGCTGTATTGCTCGCTCTGGGTAATTTCTAACATTTAAATATTATTTTTCTCACTTTTCCACTTGATATTATTCCAGCTGTTCCACGTCGTCTTTGAACCGAATTTTTTGTAATTTGTCCAATATTTAATACTTGTATTTTTCTTTGTCCATCCCATAGTTTTTCTTTTATCATTCCGCTGTCGATAACGTATTTGATCCCATCAATAGTAATTGAACTTTCTGCTATGTCTGTACTGAAAATAATCTTACGTTTATCTGGTAACTTTTCAAATAACTGTGCAGTTTCTTCTTCAGATAATTCTTCATGCAATGGTAAACTTATGAATGAACTATCATTTTTCAATTTCTTATTTAAAGCATCTAGAGCTAAATCAATTTCATCTTGATCGGTTAAAAATACCAAGATATCACCAACTTCCTCATTTTGATGTATTTCAATAGCTTTTGTAACTGCAGCTTGAACATAATTTTCATCATCAACATTCAGATAAATATCTTCGATTGGATAGGTTGTACCATCAACTTCTAATATCTCACATGTAAAATTACTTGCAAAATAGTCATAAAAAAGACGTGTGTCTAGTGTAGCGAACATAACGATAAGCTAAATAAAGAATAATTAATAAAACAAAACTAATCTTAAAATCCAATTTTGATTAAAATAACCTTCAAATCTTTTCTTTTTCTTAGACATTCTTTCATTAAACCAAGTACAATATCAGTATCAATGGTTCGTTCTTGTGCTTCGTCAACGATGACAACTGAACACTGTTCTAAGATTGGACTGTTTTGATATTCATTGAGAAAGACTGTATCAGTAACGAATTTTATTTTAGCTCGACTTGAAGTCGTAGGTTCACCTCTGGTTACTTGAAAACAAACCTACCATAGACATCAAAATTAAATAATAATAATAATAAATACTAAAAATAGGGATGCACCAGTGCCAGTAACTGGGTCCCAGTCGGACTGGGTATCCAGTCCGACTAGTACCCAGTCCGACTGGGACCCAGTCATGACTGGGTACTTAGTCATTTGACGTTTATTTCGCTAATCGATCAATACTTCTCTCTTTTCTAAGAGTGTGGATGTGCATGTTGGTTTGATGTTGGTATGGGTGTCGTTATTGTCATTCTAACTGTTACCCCATCCAAGAAACATCCACACTTATATCAGTACTTCAGTAGCCTAAGAATCACTGTATGACAATATAATAGAAAAGAAGAATGTAGTACTTGACTAATGGACTAAAGATCAATGATTAAGTACCCAGTCGTGACTGGGTCCCAGCCGGACTGGGTACCCTGTTCACCAGACAGGACTGGGACTGGTGCATCCCTAACTAAAAATCATTAATTGACCCACCTCTTCACCGATCTTACATCCATATTCTTCGGCTACTTGCGCTGCTAGAGAACGCGCTGCTAATTTATATGGTTGTGTACATATAATTTGTTCTAAAATAGATAGATGGTCATTAGATGTAAAAATTAGAATTCAAGAAGACAATATTCCTTTACTTTCATCAGCAAAATTTGCATCGCATAGATATTGAACTACTTGTGTACTCTTTCCTGAACTAGCATCAGCTTTTAAAATTAAAACTTGATTTATTTTCAATTTTTCAATAAGATCCGAGCGTCTTGTGTATATAGGAAGATATGGTTGTCGGTGTTTTAATTCGCGTTCTAGTTTTGTGTCAAGTACTTGTTCATCATCATTATTATTGTATTTGTCATCGTTAAGATCGAATTCTTGCAAATTTTCTTCGGCTGTTGATAAAAATTTGTCAGTCGTTTCAATAAATTCACTGTCTGATAGTGGCTGATCTTTTGCAACAGTCGAACTGCTCGTTGTCTTAGTGTCATCAGTGGAAGAAACCCGATTGATATCTTCATCATTCGGATGATCAAACGCGCAGTCTAACTCTATAACATTAGTATGAACATGAGCATCTTGCTTTCTTTTATTTGGTGTTCTTGATGGAGATTTACTACTATTATATGAAGAAGTACGGGATGCCAACGAAGGCTGATATTGGTGGTTATGGCATTCTAAGTGTGGTGCTGATGCAGTGTTTCCTTCAGTATTTTCAGAGGAAAAGGCCATTTTGTGGTCAATTGATCTACCATTCGGATGATTAAAATGGCAATCAAGTCGAGTACAATTTATATCATCTTTGCAATCAGATTTTGTTGTCGTTGTTTCACTTTTCGGTGCATCTGAATGCATAAATGTACAATCTTTTCTTCGACAATCTCTGCCGTATTTACATGATTTGGGATTAGCATCGACGCGTCGAACTTTTGATTCACTAGAGTAAAAACGATCCATCCCATCATCTTCATTTTTCCTCTTACAAGAACTAGATGCCATGATATATTTCGCCGCAAGTCTAAAGTTACGAAGAAATTAGATACATTGCTTAAGCTATTGTCATTTTATTCCAATAGCAATTACTTTCGAACTCACTCTGCTGTTATAAATGCGCTAGGTGATGTGTTGCAGGTTATAAAAAAATGAAAACAAGAGTGTTTAAATAAAAGCATTTTGTGAAAACAATTTACTCATTTTTTCTCTCTACGTGACACAGTCATACTACTTATCAGCAAGAAAGAAGCATTGTTTTCTATTGACACAGTTTTCATTTGCATGCAACTAGTTTACAGGAAAGAAAAAAAATTCATGAAAATAGAACGAAGAAAAAGCTAGAAGACATTGTTTATTTTGTTTTTTGATTTCATAACTCAATTCTTTTATACGAAACACGCATTCATATGATGGACAAAGACACGGAGCATGGCAACATGTAAGAGAGTGTGTTTTTGGATGCTTCTTCTAGGGTGTGGGTATGGGTGGCAGCATTCTATGAAAATATATAACACACGCC